ACTGTCCAGAGCTCATAAGCAACTGTCCTGACCACGTGGGGCCACAAGCAGACAAAATCCACCCCCCGTTTTGGCTTCATTTTCAGCCTTTGTCCACTTCTGCGCCAGGTGTGTGACCTCCTCAAGTTCATGTGTGACCGTGGACAGGGTCACACAGCCAAGCAGGAGCCAGGGTAAGGCCAGGGTCAGGCCAGGCCTGGCGGGCAGGTCAGGTTCAAGGGAGGCTTCCAGATAAAACCAGAAGTGAAATCCCCTTTTGGGCTTTGCTCAGTGAAATGTGCCCGTGGTGTAAACACAGGCAGGATTTACTGCAGGGAGAGCAAAATTCCTTAATCATTCATGTTGTGAACAACCTTAAATTTTCTGGACAGAAATAATCATGAGGACATTCACACAGATAGACAAGGGAAGAATAGACAGTTAATATGATCTTAAGAGAGGCTCTCTGGCCGCTGTGGCTCAGTTGGTTGAAGCATTATCCCTTACCCTGAAAGGCTGTGGGTTTGATCCTTGGTTGGGGTGTGAACAGGAGGTAACCCATTGATGTTTCTCTCTCCCTCCCTCTCCCTTCCTCTCTGAAATCGATAAGAACACATCTTGGGGTGAGGATTGAAAAAAAAGAAAAGGAGAGGAAGCCATAGCATACATAACTTTAGGAGGAAAGCGACTTCCTTTTTGAGTCCACAAGTACATATTCAAGGCAGGAAAATGGATTCCATCCTACGCCTGTGTTTGTGGGGTTGTTTGCTGGACCGGCACTATGGCCTCAATCTAAATGGTGTTTAGGTTTTGTCTCTTTAATGCCAGTGAGGTGACGGGTCCTTCCAGGAAAAGCTCCATGTGGGTCTTCATGGCTGCGGAGGGTGATCCAACGGGGCAGCCAGCTCAGTGAGCTCCGAGTGTCACCAGGAGAAGAACCGCCATCAATCCAGGTGCAGTAAGGCACTGAGGAAACTGAGAAGCCACGGGGGGGATGAGAAGGGCGGGTGACCTGCTGCCAGGCCTCCCTGGAGAGGGCACCCATGCGGGGCTGGCCTAGAAAGCACTGGCTCCGGGAGGTTCCTGGCCAGGTGCGCTGAAGTCAAGCTTTGCGATGTGATGACTTCCTTTGACATATTAGAATGTGATCATGAAAACGGAAACAACACCTAAGTGATCTGCTCTCTCATTTTATACCCTTGTGTTCTATGGGAGTCGAACCCTCTCCCTGCCCCGCCTCCAGGCTGTTCCAGTTTTTTCAAAGCCAGCAGTCACGCCCCACCTGCCTAAATCTTCCAGGGCCTCCTGCGTTCCCCCACACCCCAGCTCCCTCCATCCGGGGTCCCACATTGCCTCACTGTGACCTCCCATTACACCACTGTGCTCCCAGCTCTGGCCTCGCTGACCCTATCTGTCCACCCCGTTCCCACTTCCAGGCTCTGCCCAGCTCCCTCTGCCCGGCCAGCGTCACATTGCGAGACACATCACCCAGGAAGGCTGGCTGGTCAGAGTAGCAGGGACTCCTATCCGGTCATTCCAGGAGCGTGAGGCCAGAGAGTGCTTGTGGGGCCAGCGTGGGCCCCCACAGAGGAGGGGTCCACGGTCTGTTACATTCACCCTCTCCACAAGTGTTTATTGAGCAACTACTATATGCAGGGGAGGGATTTCAAGGCAGAGTCCTGCCCCTAGGGAGCCCTGGTCCACTGGGGTGGAAGCCCACAGGTGACTTCAGCTCAGTACTAGGCACCGGGAACCGCAGGGCAGCCTCATGGTGGAGGAGGGGACCCTTTTTTTAAAAAATATATTTTATTGATTTTTTACAGAGAGGAAGGAAGAGGGATAGAGAGTTAGAAACATCCATGAGAGAGAAACATCGATCAGCCGCCTCCTTCACACCCCCCACTGGGGATGTGCCAACAACCAAGGTACATGCCCTTGACCGGAATCGAACCTGGGACCCTTCAGTCCGCAGGCCAACGCTCTATCCACTGAGCCACACCGGCTACGGTAGGAGGGGACCTTTGATGTGATGCCCACACAGTAAGCAAGGGCAGCCGGGGACAGGCAGCTGGGGATCGTGTCCCAGAGGGAGGAGGGGGAGGCAAGTGTGGACAAAAGGGGCCACGCGCTAACCTGACAGCTCAGGGAAGGCCTGCATGGTGTTCTTGCAAAACCCGAGACATAGAGGAACCCCCAAGGATGGTCTGAAATTGAACTCTAACTGCAAACAGGTTAGAGTCGGTGCTCATGTCCTAGGCCAGTATCCCCCTCCCCCGCCCCCCAAAGATCAATTAGATCTTTACAGGGCCATTTGTCTTTTTGCATCTAATTCTGAGATAACGGATCTGCGGGATGTCTGCGGAACCTGTAACTTCCCCTTTTGGTTCCGACCCCTCAGGGCACAACTCATGGCACCAGGACATGCCCTCGTTACTATTGTTTTCAAGTTAATGGCCAGCCGTTCACTGTGCCAACTGCCCGTTGCCCATGGATGGAAGAAGCCCGTGCCCATCACTTCACTGTCATCCAATCCCAGAGGCGCCCGCTTTGCGTCCCCCGCCCCCTCTTCTATCGCCAGCGGATGTCCGTCACCCACTCGTTTGCGTTTTGAAGATAATTTATAAGAACGAGGCCTGAAGCCCGTCCTCCGAGCATCATCTCCACTCGGGGAGGCTGCTTCCCGCACCCGCGGCCGGTGCGGCTCAGATAAACGCACAGCAATTCCTGGTCCAATGGTTTGACGTCAACGGGAGTCAACGGAGCCGAAGGCGGGCGGGCCGAGCCGGCGCCGGGGCCGGGGGGCGGGGCAGCGGGTGGGCGGGGCCGGGGGCGGGGCCTGCGGGCGCTTCCGGGTGTAATTTCAGACCCGCCGAGGGGGCCGCCATCTTCCTCCTGGGCCGGCGCCGGGCCAGCGACATCGCACACGCACCCACTCACACGCACACCCTCGGAGCGGGGAGCGTGGGCCCCCTCCGGCCGCGGCCCCGCCACCCCGAGCCCCCCTCCGCGCACCCCCCACCCCGAGGACCCCGCGGCCTCTCCGCGCACCCCCCATCCCGAGGACCCCGCGGCCCCTCCGCGCACCCCCCACCCCGAGAACCCCGCGGCCCCTCCGCGCACCCCCCACCCCGATCCCCCTCCGCGAACCCCCACCCGAGGACCCCGCGGCCCCTCCGCGCACCCCCCACCCCGATCCCCCCTCCGCGAACCCCGCGGCCCCTCCGCGCACCCCCCAGCCGGATCCCCCCTCCGCGCACCCGGCGGTGGAGGCGGCGCAGGCGCGCGGGCCCGACCAGCCCCCGCCGTGCACCCTCGGGCCGGCCCGCCCTCCTGGGTGACGCGGGGCGGGCGGGGCGGGGCGGGGCGGGCCTGGGCGCGGCGCTGGACTGACTGTGCGGCGGCGGCGGAGCGAGCGGCGGCGGCACCATGGGCGCCCAGCTGAGCACGGTAGGCGCGGGGCGCGGGGGGCGGGGGACAGGGACCGGCAGGCGCGCGGCCTCGGGCGGGGGCGGCGCCCACTGCGACCAGCCCGGGGGCCGGGGGGGGCCGGTGCCGGGTGCGGGTCCCACCTCGCCGCACCCACCCGCCCCGCCCGCCCGCCCAGCCTGGGCGTGCCCGCGGGCGCCCTGACCCACACCCAGGCCTCTGCCCGGGACCAGCCCTGCTGCCCCGATGGGCGACCGCGGGCACCGCCCGCCGCCCTCATCCCCGCGGGGCGGAGGCTTTTATGCGCGAGAGCGAAGGTCTGTGACCTGGAAGGTTTGGTGCGACCGAGGGTGACAGCGCGTGACGTGTGTGACGGTGTGAGTGCGTGTGGCCGAGCAAGTGTGCACGTGTGCATGTGAGTGTGCACACGTGTGAGTGATTGCACGTGGGTCTGAGTGCAGATCGGTGACACGTGGTGGCTGAGTGTGAGTGCAGGTGTGTGAGGGTGTGAGGCTGAGAGAAATGAATGTGTGTGGCTGAGTGGAAGCGAGTGTGAGTGTGAGTGGGGGGTGTGAGTGTATGAGTGAGGGTATGCGTGTGTGTGGGGGTGTGAAGTATGCCTGTGAGTGTGTGGGGTGTGTTTGTGTGAGTGTGTGTGCATGTGTGTGTGAGTGTCTGTGGGGTGTGTGTGTGTGTGTGTGTGTGTGCATGTGTGTATGTGAGTGTGTGTGAGTGTGGGGGGGTGTGAGTGTGTGTATGTGAGTGTGTGTGAGTGTGGGGGGTGTGAGTGTGTGTGTGTGAGTGTGGGGGGGTGTGAGTGTGTGTGTGTGAGTGGGTGTGTGAGTGGGTGTGGGGTATGAGTTTGAGTTTGTGTGAGAGTGTGTGTGCATGTGTGTGTGAGTGTGTGGGGTGTGTGAGTGGGGTGTGTGCGTTGAGTGTGTGTGTGTGAGTGTGTGGGGTGAGTGTGTGTGAGTGTGTGGGGTGTGTGAGTGAGTGAGAGTGTGTGTGTGATGTCGCTGGATGGAAGGGGCTTTATGCATCTTTAGCAACCACCCCCCTCCCTGAGCGGCCTCCACCTCCCCGTCCGCCTCCTCCCTGCGGGGCGGTGCTGTTAGCCATGCAGCAGATGAAGAAATCGGACTCAGACGTGGCCAGCGCTTGTGACTGGCCCTGAATTTGTGGGGCTCCAAAGTCCAGGTGGTGCTGTCCCTTTGGGGTTGTCCCAGAGCTACCCTCCCTCCCTCAGGCCCACCTCCTCTCGGATTTCCCAAAAGCCCTGCACAGAGGGCAGCCCCCAGGCACCCTGCTGGCTTGGGATTGGGGTGGGGGGGCGGGGTGCAGGGGGGAAGTGGGGGGGGGAGGATAGGCCCAGCACCTCTGCCTCCATCTCCACCCCGAGCTCTTGGACTTGGAGGCACCTGCCTCCTCCCTCAGGCGGGGAGGCTCCTCCAGGACCGGCCAGGACTCGGGGGTGTTCAGACCAAGAAGCAGCCTTGCCAGGCACAGCTGTGGGCATCCCCCGCCTCAGTTTAACTCCTGACGATGTTCCCAGAAGTTGCCTTCCCGTCCCGCCCCCCACCCCGCGGGGTTCTCACCTTCTCCCAGCGTTGGTTGGTTGGTTGGTTGGTTTGGTTTGTCGCTGTGTCCCCAGCACGTGACTGTTGCACACGTGGTTTGGACTGCCAGGGCCTCCTGGCAGCTCCCATGTGAGTGAGGGGCAGAGTCCTGTCTTGGGGTCAGGAGACCTGATCCACCAGGGGTTGGTGGGAATTGCCCCTTCCTCGCTGGCCCTGCTGGAGACACCCCCCCCCCCCCCCCCGCCCCGGCCCAGAATACCCACAGCAGACCTAGCTGGGCTGCCCGGTGAGGGGCCTCCCGCAGTCTGAGGGAGGCCAGCCCGAGCTGGGGCGCCAGGCAGCTTATCTGGGATGTGCAGGCTCCAGGCTCCGAGGGAGGCCTCCTCCCCTCTGGGGGGCCCAGCTGAGGGGTTGGCACTTGAGTCTACCAGCCACCTGCGGGGAGCTTGGGGACTGGCTCCCCTGCCCTCAGCCGCTGTAAAGGGCTCAGTGGGCCCAGCCCACGTGTCGCTGGCAGCCCCCTGCCTCAGCTGTGACCCTGGGAAACCGGGTGGTCCCCCTGCAGAAGGCAGCTCTGCAGTCCACCTGCCCCTCCTCCTGGGTTCCCTCTCCTGCACTTGCTGGCTAGGAGCCCCCGCCCCCCGAACTTCCTCCGCTCCCTCCCACTTCCTGCAAGGGGACCAGGAGGGAGGTGGCCGCTCAGATCCCAGGGGGACAGCTGGCAGTCGGGCAGCAGGCAGGTAAGCCTCAGCGCAGGGGCTGGCCCGTGGGGAGGGCCGGGCACATCCCTCCGCCCACCCAGACCTGACCTGGGCAGAGTGGATGCCAGGGTCCCGGTGGGGAATGCCAGGGGTGAGCAGCTGGGCATGGTGCCCTGTGGCGGGGAGCAAGGCAACCCAGCCCCTCAGCTACAGTGGGTGAGACATCCTGGGACTCTGGCACCCCGTTTTCTTCACACACACACACACCCCGTGTTATCAGAGGTGAGGAAAGGCAGGTGGGGGGTTCCCTCATGGGGCAGAGCACAGACCACAGAGCAACAGGTCAAGGCCCTGGAGGCAGCTGTTTCTAGAACCGGGGTGGCTGGGGCGCAGTGGTGCGTGCGTGTGTGTGTGTGTGTGTGTGTGTGCGTGTGTGCGCGCGCCTATGTTTATGGGTACAAGCTGCACAGCTGAGGAGCTGGGGCGAGGCCTTGGCTCCGCCATCTGCCTCCTGTTTACTCTGCCTGCTGCGTGCAGGGGTGGGAGGGGGCTCACAGCCTGCTTCACCCCCGAGTGTGGGAACCGCGTCCCACGTTCTGCAGACACAGCCCTGGCCCTCCACTGCGCCTTTTCTCTGCCGTGTCTGTCTCCCCCGCTGACCTGAGCTCCTCAGGGCGGGGTCCCCTGGCCTGTGACCCCCAAGTCCTGCATAGGCCCTGCAGGTGTGCCCATTGGGGTTTGTGGCCTGAAGGACTGGCCGGCAGTGCGGGCCTGCCCACAGCGGCCTCCCCAGATAGGAATTCAGATTCCTCGTCTGAAATGGGGGTTGTACAGCCCCGCCTCCCAGCTCTACGGAGTCCCCTTTGTTGCGAGTCGGGACTGGAAGGTCCCCCCCCCACACACACACTCCGCCGGCACTTATCAGCCGCCCAGTGCGCCTTCTTCCCGCAGCGGCTCCAATGCAGCCTGACAGGTGAGGGCACAGCAGGAAGCGGGATCCCAGACCCCATCGCTGGTGCTCGGGGAGGGCCGTGGGCTGCAGGATACACAGGATGGGCCGTGCACGCCCCACCCTCGCCGGGGAGGGATCTGGCTTCTTGCCCTTGTTCCTGAAACTTCCAGACACAACGAGTCAGAGAGAGATGGGGGTGGGACTTGTCCCTTCACAAGTTTACCCACAAATATTGATCGAGTGTCCCTGGTCCGAGGGCTGGGGATGCACAGGTGAGCCACACCCCCTGCCCTCCTGGGGCTGGGCTCCGGGCTCCACTGTTTGGTGTTGACTGTGACCAGGGTGGGGAGCTGGCCGGCTGTTTGCCCCCAGGGCTGGCGTCCAGGATCTCGAAGGGCTGTGCCAGGGCTGAGGCCGTGTTCTGGACTTGCCTTCAGGGCTATTGACATATGAGTCTCTCTCATGGCCCCACACTAACCACAGGCGAGCGTTTGTGGGCTTGGGGCTGGAGAGATTCAGGGTGAGGGACAGAAAACCGGGAACCAAAGCCCAGACTCCTCCCTGGGCCTCCCGAGCCTCAGTTTCCCCATTTGTCCAATGAAGAACACAGTTGGCTATCTCCCACCGGCGAGGGTGAGTCACCGAGGAAATGCAAGGGAGGGTGCTTCTCAGGCTGAAGCCAGCTGCACCAGGGTCTTGTGTTGTTGAACTTGGCTGTGCGCTTAAACAGCTGTGCTGGGGGGTTAACTCTGGGAGCGCCAACAGAGCTGCAGTGGCCTCTAAGGCCATTTCGGTTCATTTCCAGGCTCCCAACAATGGCGACTTCCTGCGAATGGAACCCCATCAACTTTCCCCTAAACAGCCTTCCCCAAGGATGTGGCTTTTCTGATTGACAAGAGAGGGGCTTACGGCAGAGGAATCATCTGAATAGTCCTCACCCCCAGGGAGTTCAGGAGGGAGGCCAGGGCTGTGGAAGTCTGCTGAAGGCCTGATTAGCTAGGGAGTGCCAGTCAGATTGGACATTTGAGCTGGGCTCTGAAGGGTGGATAGGAGTTTGCTGGTTGGCTGAGGGAAGAGGAGGGGAGTTCTGGGCAGAAGGGAGAATATGCAAAGGCCTAACCCAGCGGCCGGCAAATGCATTAGTCAGCAGAGCCAAACATCAACAGCACAACGAGTGACATTTCTTTTGAGAGCCACATTTTTTAAACAAACTATATAGGTAGGTACATTGTTTTTTTGTTTTTTTAAAATATATTTTATTGATTTTTTTTTACAGAGAGGAAGGGAGAGGGATAGAGAGTTAGAAACATTGATCAGCTGTCTCCTGCACACCCCCCACTGGGGATGTGCCCGCAACCAAGGTACATGCCCCTGACCAGAATCGAACCCGGGACCCCTGAGTCCGCAGGCCGACGCTCTATCCACTGAGCCAAACCGGTCAGGGCAGTACATTGTTATGAACTTAATTAGGGGACTCCTAAGGCTTAGGAAGAGCCACACTCAAGGGGCCAAAGAGCTGCATGTGGCTCGAGAGCCGCAGTTTGCCGACCACTGGCCTAAGGCAAGAAGGGCTTGTGGCTGGTGGTGTGGTCATCAGTGGGGCCTTGAGTGTAGGCAGTGGGGAGCCATGGTGGGTGTTTGAGGAGGGAATGGAGCGGCCTGTTGGTTTGGGCAGCTGGGGCCTCACCGTGGAGAGGGGATATCGGATTGTGGGGGGTCAGTGGGGATCTGGGCTCTGTGACTGGGGCCCAGAGAGGGCACCTGCCCTGGGAGGCGGCTTGGGAAGAGCCATTCTTGGGGCTTGACAGGCCTGGGTTTGGATCCTGGCTCCACCCTGACTTGTCGCGTGACCATGGGCAAGTCACTTAATCTCTCTGAGAAGCAGGGACAACAGTGCCACTTGTCATGAGCGTGGGCCTCCGAGGTTGGCTTTGGTGTGACTTGGGGCAAGTTACTGGTCCTCTCTGGGCCTCAGTTTCCTGCCAGCACCTGAGGCTGAGGGCTGGAGGGAGGATTATCCCAGGGAACTCCGGTCCCGTACCTGAAGCAGTGACAGCCTCTCCTGCCTCATTTCCTCCCCAGCCGTGAAAGGGACCACCCTCATGCACTTGAGAAAGGTGGGGACTCTCTCCTGAAGTCCTGAGCTGGGCCTCGAACCCTGGTCTCTGGACCCGAGTCCAGGGCTGCCAGCCAGGCCTTAAATGAGACCCGGGAGGGGTGAAATGCTCATGTTCCCAGAACACGGTAGGTGCTAGTTAAATGGGCAGGTGGCCCTGGGCAGCGGGGGGTCTGGCCCGGCCCCTGCAGGCCTTCCCTTTAGACCCTTCAGTCACAGGCCAGGGGCCCCGTGGGGCAAGGCCTGCTGCCCCAGCCTGGAGGCCCTGCCTGGGAGACACACAACAAAGGGCTGTAACCCAGCGGCAGCCGGGCAGCTTGAAGCTGCTGCGCCGGTTTGGGAGGCAGGGCCAGGCCTGGTGTGGGATCTGAGAGCCGCTGCCTTTCCTTCGCTTGGGGCTTCCAACTCCCAGGGGTAGTGGCCCCGTGAGGGTGGCAGGAAAAGCTCCTCTGTGTGTACCCACAATTCTCAGGTTATAGACGGCTCCGTGACCTGTGCCACCCTCATCTCATCTCATCTCCCAGATCCCCTAGCAAACTCATTAGTCAGCAGAGCAAATATCAACAGGACAACGATGGAAATTTCTTTTGAGAGCCACATTTTTTAAACTTAAACTATATAGGTAGGTACATTGTTATTAACTTAATTAGGGTACTCCTAAGGCTTAGGAAGAGCCACACTCAAGGGGCCAAAGAGCCGCATGTGGCTCGCGAGCCGCAGTTTGCTGACCACGGCCCTAGGAGGTGGGCAGGGCAATGGCTGTCCTCTTCCTTCTGTAGAAGAGAACGCCGAGGCTCCGAGAGCCTCCCAGGCTGATAGAGAGGCGGGGTGGGGGGAGTTTCCAGGAAGTGGGGGCTTGGCCTTGAGAGGTGAAGGTCATCTCACTGAGCCCTCAGTAGGGCAGGGGCCACTTCTAGGTCTGTGCTCTGCAGAATACAATACCTCGCCCTGGCCGGTGTGCTCAGTGGATAGAGCATCGGCCTGTGGACTGAAGGGTCCCAGGTTCGATTCCAGTCAAGGGCACATGCCCAGATTGTGGGCTCTGTCCGCAGTAGGGGGTGTGCAGGAGGCAGCTGATCCATGATTCTCTCTCATCATTGATATTTCTCTCTCTCCCTGTTCCTTTCTCTCTGAAATCAGTAAAAATATATTTTAAAAAATAATATGACACCTCAGGAGTCCCACAAAGGAGGCAGAGAGGCCCCCATGGAAGCAAGGAACTTGGGTCTAAGCTTCCTGGCAGCCAAGGCAAAAAGGGGAACCAGTAGTATTATAAGAACACACAGTCATTTGCTGAGAGAACTGAAGTCAGGGAGGTTTCCTAGGTAGAGTGCGTGAACCAGCTGTGAAACAACTTTTTTTCTAACTTTTATTTAGAGACTAGAGGCCCAGGGCACGAATCTGTGCACCAGTGGGGTCCCTCGGCCTGGCCTGTGGGATGGGCTGAAACCGGCTCTCGGACATCCCCCGAGGGGTCCTGGATT